CCATCTCCTGTCCTGTGCAAACTGACTGACTGACTGACTGACTGACCTGACCTGACCTGAACCTGCGCCTTATTTAACTGAATGGTGTATTTAGAAGTTTTCCCTGATCACCGGACGTTGCGATGTGATTTTATCTGACTATTCTACCGATACGTCATTTGAAAACCCGTCTTGCTGTGCTACATTTATAATTCGTTATTGACTGGCGTGATCCTGAATATAGATTGAGATTGGTGTTTTAGATATCTTCCTCATCGAAGGGAATGTAGATTGACCACTGTTAAATATATATTTTAAACCGGTTCGATAATTTATTCGTAACATCTCCATAAAATCCGTATCTCTGAACATAGATTTGTTCACTTATGCGCAATTCTGGTACTCAATCCGGAATGTCTTCCAACTTCGTCATCATCATCAAACAACGAGATTAGTGAAGTTAACTTCGCTGGTCTCTGTCAAGCTCACAGTTCACACAAATTAAGTGATAAATTACAAGGTGGAGATGAATTGGGTCCGCTTGGATGGCGGAAAAGAAATTGAACTAGTTTGGTCAACACAGTACACAATCGAACTATGCATACCTACCGTTTCAAGCATTCTGACCTTCGATAATAAGAACGCCACTGTTGTCGGTCGCTGCCGTATCCTTCAGTGTCTCTACTCAGCCAGTTGTACAGTCTTTTGGATCCCAACCTGGACGACGAGATATACCTACCTTACCTAATGGCTCTGCATTTTTTCATGCATCGTCTCCACGTCATCTGTTGACCTCCGCCTGGTTTCCTGCAACCTGGAGCAGCAACAGCAAATAAAGCACGGTGGGGTAGACGATAGCTGGGCATGCATAATACGTTTCCTAACTAATGAAGCTGACTAATCTCCATGGACTCAATACCTCAGAGTTGCTTACACGCTCGCTCCATCCAACCCGCGCCAAACTACGTCCAAGACTTCTAGACGATGAATATCTTACACATGCAAGTTGAGGTTCTCGCAACCATAGGGCACAACTGACCACACTGCCGCAGTATACATGACCTTTCAGTTGCAACGAAACATCATGTCTGCATCAAAGGTGTTTCAGTCCTGCGTAAGCCTCTCGTGTATTAGAAATGCCGGCGGTTACTTCCTTGACTATGCCATCATTATTTGCAACGCAGTTACCAAAGTAGGTGAAATATTCCACGACAATTAATTCTTAAACATCGAGCATCAATGCTGGGGTAGACGGCATCCACTTTTGTAGCATTACTTTGCACTTTGAAGGTACAAAGCGCTTGCCGAAAGGACTTACAGAACTTGAAAGTTTGCAAAACGCGCTTTTCGCATTCTCCATACGTTGAAAGAGGCAAAGGATGTCGTCAGCGTACTCTAAATAGCACAGCTTTTCTCCAGCTACCCGTTCAATACCAACATTTTGAAGTTCACTTAGTACGTTCTCCAGTATTTCGTCTATGGCGAAATTAAACTAGAGTGACGAAATAGGGCACGCTTGACGAACACTCCTGGTTTCGAACAATTTCCTTAGCCCACCGTTGACATTTACGCTACCAGAAATATGCAGGTACAGCGACCGCCATAGTTTTACTTATTTCCGCAGCCTTTCTTTGCGAAGCTGCTACGCCATAAGAGCTTCACGGTCAACTGTATCGAAGGTTACTTTCAGGTCTTCCAAGAGCAATAGAAAGTCATCATCGTAATCTTTTATATTCATGAGAATCGCAAATGGAATCTAATAAATTACAACACGATTCAGTCTGTCGTCCTTTTAACGTATAATTTTATCAAATTCTGCACAACCCCCCTCAGGAATGTATTGTTCGCCAGTGCTTCATTTCCGCACCGAGCTTATTCCACGTATTGTTGCGTCCATACTACGTTGTACAATTGTCAAATAAAAGTAACTCAATTAATCCATGGAAATTTTTATTGTACAATAAACGGTACAAAATCTGTCATCCCGTTTCGAGCTAGATCTTTCTCTTTTTCCGGCAGAGTTGTCGTATAGTTTCCAATATTTTGCGCTTCTTTCCACCAAGAAAAAGCCAATTTGCAAAAGGCTCAGGAGATATATTTTTGATAGATGTGATAATTGAACTTTCAAAATTTGTCGGCTTCTGCGTTCATCTAATGATAGAAATGTATACCCTTCCGAATAACTATAATCAACAATAATGTGATATAATAATAAATTAGAGCGTACTGAAAATGCAACCAAGCACAGTCGCGGTGTCCAGTTCATTGGATCTCTGAACGGGGTCAAACGTCCAAGGTGCCCAATACACCTCGATATTCAATCGAGTCGGTGATCACTACCACGACTAGGAAGTTTTGTGCGTGGTTCGTACGTCTCCTCTTGGTTGGTTTAGAATCAGGGTTTATAGTCAGTTCCCCTAAGTGAACTGTCAGTGATCCACCGACCCGGATAAAGGTTTTCATCCTCTCACTTTGGTGGGAAAACACAACCACGTGCAAGCATTTCGCGAAGGATGACTAGCCAAAATCTAAGACCCTCCCACTGTGATTTTGGTTTTCGTAACTTGATGGTACATTCGCATGACTATGTAGTTAATTCTTTCTGCCGGTATAGAACTTATTTTAAATAATGTCTCTTTTTGAAACATTTCTTCAGACTAATCAGAATGTGCCCCTGTCAGTCTGATTTGCAAGTCTAGCAATGGCTGTACAAAAGCTTAAAGTTCAATACCATAATCGAGATTCACGTGGTGGATTTTCCGGTAAGTGTAAACAACATTAAACGCTCTTATTCTCGTGCAGATGTTCTTCTTAGTTCGCGAGGAAGTCATGGCATATCTGCGGGCGATGTGATCGAGGTTTATCACTCGGATGATGTCCATCATGTTCTCTTCCTTGTCACTACATTGCGTGATGACATGCAGACCAGAGGTTGTCTAAATTAGTCATGTTTCATTAGATGAGTTTGCAGATATTATCAGTATTGAAAGCTCGTTGGCTCAATCGTTTCGTCTACAACAACACAAGACAGTGTATGTTCGTGTGGTAGAAAAAGAAGTTGGTTTCTTCTTCGATGTAAAGTATTTGTTCTCTTATGCAGTCGGTCACACTTGATTTGATCGAACTACATTTTCGTGAACAATATCTAAGTCGTAGTGACTGTTTTCGTTTGTCACAAAATCTTGTAAGTGCCTCTTCCGAAGTGTTTATTTTTTATACGAAAAGATGGGTAGTGTAGTTCAGGTGAACAAAAAGATCGAAGCGAATGATTTCCGGTTAGTGTCAAGGGAATTCATTGGTAAACTGATTATCATCTATTGTAGGGTGCAAGTTGGGGAGCTGTGGCGGCGCGGCGAAAAGTATTCATGCGGTTATGTGGGTGAACAAACAAAAGTAAAGTCCGCAATTGTTAGTAAATTGCCTTTCCAGATCGTTTTCCGCTCTTCCTCTGCCTCAATTCATATATTTATTCAGTTGAGTGAAGAAATGTGGCTTTTTGATGATCACGGAGATCTTTACTTTGAAAAAGCCGTTAAGTTCCTCTCAAAGTTGTTTCTGCGGTTTTGGCCGGTGAGTTTCCATTCACATCAACAAACGATTATAAAACAACACAGGAGAATAACTGCAATCACGATGCTAATGTGGTTTTCTTTGCACGGGTTTACATCACTGGTGAGTAAATCATTTAAATTAATTTAACACGAAATTTACTACCGAACGGACTTGATGACATTTCCATGGGTTTACCGCTTTAGTGTTGCACATCGATAAGTATCGGTCTGATTCTCACTCCACTACTGTATCCGCCACAACATAACACCGTGTGGTTGATCAGTCCAGCTCACTGTATATCTTCATTTGGTGGTTGACGCATTGTTGTTCATAGATCACTTTGCTGATCTGATTTAGAGGCTAAATGAAATACCAGTTATCTTAAACGAAACATACTTATAAAGGTTACCCATGGTAACCGAAACGGCTTATTTTCACCTGTACGGACATCGCTGTGTTTTCAAAATTACAACTTATATAAAACATGTCATATGGCGCATCGATTTTTCGATACACTCCGAACGTCGTTCGGATCTGACACTGAATAAACCATAAACCATTCAAATGATGTGAAATCAATCCGAACGCTTCAGTAATTCGGGGTTCTAATATATTTTTTTCTCGGTTATACCTATACGCCGTTCTGACAATCAAGTTTTCTTTTCATTTTGCATACCCAGAAGTGATGCGCCGTTTTCGTTTTTCTCTCGTTATCGTTTACTGATTGTGAACCATTTTTATCGACAACAATGCAGGGCGAAACTATCATCGTCTATTTTAAGCAAGTACGGTAGTTTAATGTTTACTTTTTTCTATTTAGAAGAAGAATAAATAAAAGTCCCTGTTAAAATTATCTTCGCTCTTATCTGTGTTCTTATTCAGACTTACCACCCATGTACCATGATCACGTAAACCAAGATTGTTTCGGGAGGATCTACGAAGATTTCTACAGGTACGCATTATCCTGTTTAGGGACTGAATTCGTTTTACTTTGCCACACGAAATTTTTTTCTCTTGATCATTGTCTTTTTTCTTATCCAAATTTTCGCTCTCAGGGTTGTTGTGCAGAATGAACGTTTCACAATTGACGAATGGAAACGTGTGTTGACGCAGCTTAAGCTGGAATTTCGCACTTTCCAAAAGGATCTACATGCACATGTTCGTGAGGAATACCCTACCAACGGATCAGATTCATCACCAAAGATTCGTGTGTCCGGCGCTATGGAGGGCAACTTTTTGGAAGCCATTAATATGGCTTTGAATTGTGAGTTTACTTTCAATATTGAATCTTAAAGTTATTCGTCCAACAACGAAACTTCATTTCCATTTCAGTCTATGCTGGATACAATGTGGATCGAAGCTTTGATCGCACTGGGAAATTGTCATTTTTTCTTAGCCCTGGAGCAGGTTGTTTTCTGGTAGAACGTCAACTCTCCGAAATGACAAAGCAACGAATTTTGGATTTGGGTGAGCAAAAATTTGAACAATTTATTATCAAATCAATTTTCGCTAAAATTCTGGTTTCATAGTATTCGGGGTACTTTGTATTTGCCTCACCATTTTTTGTATATAATGTGTTTATTGAGTCGAAACATGCGAGTTTACGTTCCTTTTTGATCTAAAGTTAGTTAATTCATTCGAAAAATTCAAGACATCGATTCAGTAATTTCCACAATAAACCAGGGAATCAACGAACACGGGCGTGTCTCAGATGTTAGTGGTTTCTCTGGTGATCGCGGGTGTGTACCAAACTTAAATGTTTGTAGTTCGATCCCTCTCATAACCATCCCACTGTTCTGCTATCGCCTGCTTTTTCTTTTTAATTTTATTTCCTTTTATTGAATAAAAATGATAATTTTCAGAAAGGGGGAGGCGGCCAATCAAAGGGCTGCCATGGGGAAAGTCAGGCGGTGGTGGTGGGGCTTGAACACACGTCCCCGAGGTGGTAGTTTGGTGACGTTACCACCAGCCCACCACCGCTTCATTACCCTGCATATCCCAATCGTAGCTGCATTTACTCCAAAGCCCAATGTCTGAAGTATTGATTTCCATTTAAACGCGGTGGAAATATTTGTGATAACCGACAGCTGTTTCGTCTTGTTTGGGACTCGTTAGCAGTGCGTACTTTCTGTGTCCCTGTCAGGACTCGAATCGCGAACATTCGGGTCGGGACTTCGAACCCTTACTCCTGAGCTACACGGTCGGCGGTCATTACCTTGTGCGAATGACTCAATCAATTTAGAGTATCAAGTTTGGATTAGCCCATTCGGTTGTTCAGGGGCACCAGGCACTCTTGATGGTCTTGTGTGTGGTTTTTACTCCTGGGAGATCGTTAATTCCCCACTAGTTAAATACGATGGAAATCTTTGTGATGATCAACAAAGAGTACTGAACACCTCTTTTGTCCTGCGTTAGCAGTCAAGTCCTAATAGAAACGCAAAAATTATCTCCCTTCACTAAACATCACAATCAACCAATCATATTCATCACATCAAATTATCACAGTAATGTGATATTTTTGAACTATATAAACATTAGCTTGAGGAAAAAGTTATCTTAAAGATTTTTTATTCGAATGAGTTTCCGGTGAATCACGAGAAGTGTCATCTACCAAATCCACTTCATTTGATACTTAAGTACATTCATTTATGATTCATTTTCTCCAAAAGGTTTTTCTCGTGGGCTTAGTTTGTTGGAGCGTGTATTATACGGTTCCATTTAGGCTTCCTTCATTTTGTGACTATCATTTTACCGAAATCTTGCTCTTGCATCAATTTGGTGGACGGAAACATCGATTTTGTCCTCCGGTACCACGAAAGCTCGGTGTTTTTTGACTTGGATTGAAGCCCTGCCATAGTTTGGACATTCAAAACAATGGTAAAGATAGATTGAAAATCGAATACGAGCTTTTGCTTTGTGATTCGGCAGAAATGGCCAACATTATTGACGAATGAAGGACTGTGTACTGGGATCAGTTCCATTCCAGTGGTAAAGTAGCTTGTAATTGACGGGCGAAATCTTTGGGAAATCACTGGAATTGGTCTGTTACTATAGTTTCACAGGCTGGCACGGACAACGATTACTCAAACAAAACAATATCAACAGCTCTCTTCTAGTTTTTTAGATCCACTTGAACCGGCCATCTATAGTATATTTCTTTTTCAGGTGTTGGAGTTGATTTGATCTGCTTTGGACAACAACCACTCCATGCTGTTCCAATGTTTAAGGCAAGTTCCATTCCAAAACTCGTTACCAGATCTAATATTCGTCTGATAATCTGCTTTTTGACTGTGTTTTGTTCAAAAAATTTGAAGTTGTACCCTTTTGGTGATGCTGCTGGTTGGTCGGGTCTCGTTGCGTTTGGTGTTAAGAGCCATCGGAGACGGCACATATTTGGTTAGCGACATAAGGCAATGCAGCCAAATATTTTGCGTAATGGTATCGGTTCGCTTAGATTGTTCAGTTTTGTCGTCGTTATTTTTTCAAGCATTACCAACAACTCTACTTTGTCAGTCCCGTCCAGTATGAGACTTCAAAATGCCATTACACGAGACGTCCTTGACGATTTTTTTCTCACGATGTTAATTCAGCTTAGTTCTCTAACGTTTTTCTGAGCCTCGTGCAAATAAGTTTCTCCGAATTCATTGCGTCAGTTTTCTCAGGGCTGTTCTGTGACAAACTAAGCAGCACTTTTTCATCTTTCCTAAACTCTATCATTTAGATTGTCAGTTCCAATCAATCGGAACATCCAGATGAATTTTTCGTACCGTATTGGATCAACTGCAGGTAAGGTTTTCTATCATGGCGTTTTTAGTTCATTTTTCCCATAGCTTTTTTAGATCAGCTCACGAATTGAGACAAATCGAATTGGGGTTACCAGTGTTTCGATCTCGAGTAAGTCGTAGAATACTCACGTGCTTCCCATGAGTGATTCTTACGAGGTCTTCACATTCTTTTGTTCTTCATCTTTTTGTGCTTTTTGCAGCCCTTCTCTGGTGATAACCATGAATAGGTCAAGCTGATAGCTCAGTCAGAACCACTGTGATCACAGACAAGCTATCAGCATGTGCTCAAATGCTGGCACATTGACCCTTGTCTTTGTCTTTCCATGGACCTGGTTATGCATTGTCTGGTCTAAATTATACAGACGGTGTCGTGTTGCCAAGTGCATATTCAGGCGCGTTTCCAGGATTGTGGATGGTTTGAGCATTAGTGCAGCTAAGTTTGGCGGGCGTTTTGCCCCTCCGAAGTGTAAATTGTCGTTACAGGGCTGGGTGAATCTCGCCCATCACTTCACAAAATAAATAAGCACAGAAGTCGGTAGACCATTTTGGCTATTTATTCATATATATTTCACCTGGTGGATGAATTATTGACACATCGAAGGCTATGGGGGCCGAATGTAAACTGTAGCTGTTCGATTGGTACTGCCTCATGGCCGTTCCGCGTAGAGGATAAATGAAAACCATCAGTTTTCGAACAACCTTGTTTGTGGCATATTGCACTCATCTAATCAAGCGACCTCCAGGCAACGCTGAGGTTTGGCGAAGAGCAGCAAGTGGTTCTCTGTGGAATACTAGCGCAATGACATGGTGTGAAGATATGGTAACCCTGATCGGAGGTCTTCGTCATTAGACTGCGCCTGGCTTCTTGGTTGGGGACTTCGGAACCAGTCTAATTAATGGTTAGATGCATTCACTGATCTTTCAGGGTCGTAAACTGTGACATCCTTGCGTTTTGCTCACTCTATTCACATATCTGCTGTGCATGCATTCTGTATAGGTATCTTGGTATTACTCTCAGTTTTTTTTATTCTGTGCTTCACTAGTCGAAAGACAGCAGCCCAAACCCATACCAAGGGGCTCAAGTTTAATAGATGTACACACTGAGAACCCCCATTTTTAAGGATATTGTGATCCATTGCCCTTATTTACATTGGTTCCCATGGTTATAAGAACCAAACTGGACTAAAATCCAGAGTTGTTGCTTCACTCGTGAACAGTCGGATCGTGGATATGTGATGCTCTCCGTGTTCCTCCCGCTTTTGTTGGTTCAGTTGTACTTACTTCTTAGTCTGCTTAGTGAAACCTTTCCGGGAAATGCGATCCGAAACCAGATGATTCATCTTAAATCATCTGTCACTTTCTTTCTGGAATCAGCAAAATTGTTGAACTGATGCGACTGCGCTAAGTCAAAAGTTATGACACACAACACACGTTTTCAGCCTCACGATGAATATTGTTTTTTCTTGAAAACTCTAAAAGTTAGGTATCTACTTCGTTGAACTTGGATAATACAATCGGTGTACACCAGACTTTGTGACGGATTTATTCTCTACTTTTCTTTAATTTTCTCTGTTTAGTTGTTTTTCATTCCTCCCTTCCCCGCGCACTCTATAAACTTGATTGTTCCGTGTATTCCAATATCATATTTTGCATTTTTTCTCATTCCACTTTGTTCATTGATTCAGATTGTTCAGATACCGAACGGTAAAGAGTCTTGTTCTCCATCACCCAATTCAGTCGAGAGGAAACAAATCGTTACAAGCATCAAGTGAGCATATTTAAATGCAAAAAATTAAATTTGATGAACTCGTCCTGTAAGCGAGGCGAGAACTGAAAAGCTAGGAAGCACTTGCTAGCCGTTTCGATCTGGTTTAGTCTCATCAGCAATGCAATTCCGTCGACCCAACAGGGACTCGAAACCGGGCCGATGGATTAGCGCTGCTCCTGAGACCCAACCGGGTCCCAACAGCTGTCCAGTGCTTCCTAACTTTTCAGCTCCCGACGAATTTATCACATGTAATCAAATCAAATCCTCCACCACCCTTATGCAATATTTGCTAATGGTAACTTCCAATCGCTCGTGCGTAATCGTGTTAGATAGGTGTTGTTGTTTGAGTTAACGGAGGTGTTGTGCTTTCGTTTGAATGATGCTCAATCTAAATCAGTGTGTTGGTTCCTTTTTATTGCATGCATAACACCTGATTTCAATTCGGGTGAATTGTTTGTTTCACACATCTATCATACATTCCGCTTCAATTCAGCGTCACGGATAAGAAATCTGAAAAATGTATTCGGCCACGCAAAAAAGTACTCCGCATTTTCTATCCTCCATCAAATGGCGAATTCAAGTCCACAAAAAACGGTTTGATGGACTCAAATGATGATGCTGCCTATCAGCAGTCACCGATTTTCGGCAGTGGTGGCTCTCAAACAATCCAAAGTCTGACCCCCACTCTGGCCCAAACTTCAATCTACGGGTACGGTGCGGATACAAAACGTTCAATCAATCCAATCCTGACTGCGATTAGCACTGCGAGTGCCGTCGCCAGAGCGCACCGTGATGCGAGACGTATATCCCGTGGTAGTGAATCGGATCACAGTCCGGTTCAAACCGCTGGTGAATGGGACAAGGAGAATCCGATAAAGTTCCCCTCCTCGTTGACGCGAGCGGAAAGCGGGGAGAGTGAGACAGCTAAACCTATCAGACAGTCCGAGATTCGTATGGTTTCTGCAAGAAATATGCGACCCGGCTCTTCAGCATCCTCTCTGAATGCTAACCGTGGCCGTCAACTTCCCATTATTGGTCTGGAAAGACAAGACAGCTCCAACGGGCAAGCAGGACGACCACGAAGTGGTAGTATAAATAGCGAGCACGATGAGACGTCCAATGCCAGCAGTGTGGAGGATTCAATTGTACAAGGAATGTGTGAGTTTTGGACATATTGTTTTACAAGAGTTCAACTCAATTTTTTTTATTACACACTTAGGTGTGTTGAACAGCAGACGGGGTAAACCCCATAGTCACGAGGACCTGCTGTTCAGAGGTTGAAATCGGCAACCTAAGCCCCGGAACTTGGAGTGGCGAACCACATAAGACCCCGATAGGTTAGGCGTGGTATTGAACCGGACGACAGCTGAGCTGCCTACCACCAAAGTCGGGTGGCGGTGGCGGGGCTCGAACCTCGGTGCAAAGCACGCCGGTGACAGCGACTAAACCACTGCGCCACCACCACCCACTGTGAATTAATAATTAAAAGCAACGTAAGATGGACAACTTTTTGCAATAATTCATCACCGTGGGATAACAGGTTATGTAAGGATGAAATCCAGGGTGTTGTGCGAATGTTTACGTTCAATGACCTAGTATGGATCATCGCAAGAATAGGTAGGTACACTTGCTATCAAGAACACAGGAAGGTTTTGCAGTGAATGGTTTCAGAAGCTACGTGGAAGTGAAAATCGCTAGGAATGCGGTTTTTCTCTTGAGATTCGGGAAATCAAGTTGATGATATTTTGTATTCAGGTTGCGAGGATCGCACAGTGATGCAGTCACGATCACCACCGGGAAACCAAATTCGCATACGCATGTGCATGACTACCTAAGGTGGTTGGGTGAACCAGTAGTGTGAATCACGAGTGGAGTAAATTAAATTAACAAAATCTGCCTGGTCGTCACGTGCTCATGTGCAGAACGTTTCCGATTAACTGATTGATCAAGTAAATTTCGTATTTAACTCACAGTTACTTGTGAGTAGTGTGTGGGATAATTGATATTGACTGATTTGACTGACTATCCTTCGGACTTCACGTTCACGCAGAATCCTCAGTTCATCGATTCAACCACACACTCGGAAGCACTATACTCGAGTTTCGCTCTTATTAGAGCTCATCAGTAGTGCATATCCACTGTCCCGTAAATTTCGGACATTCGTTTTTCAGACGTGATGTATGCTAGCTGGATTCTTATTTTCCCGTATCATATTGAGCCTACTTATTTTGCACTAGTAGTGTAAATCAGATGGAGTGTTTTCGTCGGCGTTACCGGATTCGCAAGCTTGAGGCATTTCTATCACAGGTTATTTTTTGACGGACAAAGTTTCCTATCCCATCAATTGCGTGGTTTGCAAACCATTGTTAATAATCGTGTTTGTGTATAGCAGTTTTCGGCATACGACTTTCTGTACCACTGATCTATGTGATAAATAAAAATGGAGGCTTATATCGAGTCTAGCCGAGGAAATCGCTTTACACACCCCGGGGAGGGGGGGGGGGGGTTTTCAATTTTNGGATATTCAATTTTGTTTGCCTGTACCTTTTTCCCTTGAAAGTGATTCTTTCCAACTTTATTTTACTGTTTGTTGTTTCTTATAAATTCCATATTCGTTTTGAGAACACCTTTTCAGTCTGTGCGCTTCCGATCGTTCGTATTGAAAAGTGACCAGTGTTCGATATTGGGGACTTTTATCACCAAGAAATTGCATCCTTACACGAAAGCAAAACGTAAACTGTTCTTCAGACAGTGCCCTCCTCCCACAGTTTTGATGAAACCAAAGGTTTTAATTGTTGATTCATATACTCTGTAAACCGTCTGATGGCATCTTGTTGCATTAGTCCTTCCCTTCAAGCATTCTGATCCACTTTCTTCTCTCGCATACAAGGATTACCTCGAAAGCGTCCTTGTAGTGTGACGCGCATGAGATTTGTGTGCAAAAATATACAACTATGTTATGGGACTGGAAAATCATCTAGTTTGTTGTACTCGGCAGTGGTAAAATGTATCCAATCGGAACCTCTAGTTGAATTTGACCATCTACAGTACCATATAGGAATATCAACTTGCTCCGACCTTCCAACAAGGATGATTACCCGGACGTGCACCGAGCCTCTGCTGTGCTGCGCCATTCTTGTCATTACAGAAATTTTTCCAATTTCAGATGTATGTTTCCACAAACACCCCTCGCGATAAAGCTTGATTAAGGGAGATGGTGATTCGTTTATCCAAATGGTAGATATCCATCTTTTGTCGCCTCCCGCACACCTCAGTGAATTAATCTTCCAATGGTGTTCAGTCAGTGACGGAACAGCTGTCCGTCTTCTTGGAAGGCTCACAAGAAAGTCATTTGTGGTGAGAATTTCCCAAAAGGACTTATTCCACCAAATGAAAGAGTTTCTCACCCGTCGAGATTACTCATTTGGGCAGGAATAAAACATGGTCAGCCCTGTCGGTGGACATCGGTCAAAGGAATCATGAATAGTGGGAAATTTGTATCAGTAATTACGACAATGTTTCCAGAATTTCACGAAAAAAATCGTCTGGAAAAGTTGTCGTTTTTCAGGATAACTCTCCGTGTCATGTTTCACGAGAGGTTAGTAAAATGATTTAGTCAAGGAGTCTGGTTAACTTATTATTTGCTTTTAGACTTCAGAAAAGATGCGTGACTCCAAGGTTCAGTTCATGCAACTCCCTCCTAATAGCCCGGATCTCAACGTGATTGAAAATCTGTTTTCTGTTTTGAAAAGAGAGGTCAATGGACACTGGAGGCAAAAGTGCGATACATAATGGAGCACAAAATAGAAAATGACTTCATAACAAAGTTGGTGGATTCCGTGCCGAAGAGACTCAAAAAAGTCCTAAAGAACAAGGGCAGACCAATCGACTGTTAGTGTACATAAACTTTACATCCTAGTTATTATCAATGTTGATTTGTTGTAAATAAAATCTTTTCTATCCCCTTAAATTACCCCCTAATTCGTCATGCTGTAGGTCAACCCCTACTGATGAAATGGGAGTATCCTGTACATTGTGAGTTATTCCATCTCCCGAGTATAAGCGAATCAGGAAAATCAGTGCTATAAAGACTCACCAAGGCTTGTTTGTTATTATTTGGAAAAAAATTTAGTCTAGTACAAATACTGTTGCCTATACGAACACACAAGTGTTTCACAGGGACTTGTTGCTTCAGTTTCGATTAGACCTGTAAATATATATTCCATTTCGTGGTCACTTCACAAGCACTGATGATGTCACCTCGGCTGGTGATGAAACGTTTGCAAACAAATTGCCAAGCTCGGCGAACAGGCGAAATGGAATTCAGTTCACCCGAGTTACGAGAACCAATTTTCAATACTTTGTCAATAAATATATATGTATATAATGAGTAATATATGAATGACTGGACAAAATTTCCCATACGCATATGACCGGTTTCGGGAGTTCAAGTATAAGTATAACCAGACAGAAGATTGCCGGATACACATGCTTAATGAATGGCAAGGACCGCGAAACCGGTCGTGTGCTTCTGGGAAATTTTGTGCCATTATTCACACACTACTCATCATAAAAACACTGAAAGTTGACCCTAGCGTCGAGTTGGCTGAAGTTAGATGCACCTAACCCACAACACCTGATACACAACCATCGCAATATTTCTTCGAGAGTTGTTCATCTCAAATCCACCCCTGGGGCTTCAAATGAGCTTTGTATTGCATGATAAATATATACATAAAAGGTTATATGATGAATTCGTCGTGTAAGTGAAGTGTAAGCTGATTGGATCTCGTCAGCAGTGCGAATCCATCCACCCAACTGATGAAACCCAACCAGGTCCCAACAGCTGTCCAGTGCTTCCTAGCTTTTCGGCTTACGCCTCATTTACACGAATTCATCACATGTAGTCAACTCAAATCTTCCATTACTCTCATGCGGCTCCAAATTAATATCTAAGATTCCCAGGATCTCTGTTGTGTGATCTTTCGCTACCAGAGTGTGTCTGAAGGTCACCTGTGCTTTTAAACCGATCGACTTATCTGCCTTGAAGGACCGCAAGCCTGGGTAATCTCTTGATTTGATTTATCCGGTTCTCTCAATCCGATAACCTTTACTTTTGCGGCATCACAGGTATTGCAAAGAACAGAAAGAAATCACATGGAAACTGAACGATAGAAACTAAATATTTGTCTAGCCTTCATGACGAACTTCATGGTTTCCTTTTGTGCAACAATGAACCATATTACGTAATAATTCCGTTGTAGTTTGGCTCGATTCACGTTCCACGTCAACGATATGGAGCCACGAGATGATGGTGGGTGTGGGTGGTCGGTTTTTGGTGAACAGCCTACGTGCATTTATTTTTACCAATGCGTTCCCGGTTGTGTACTAATCTCATCTCTGGCTGGAAACACCGAATAAGATTAAGTGTTGTAAATATTCTCGCCCATGCATCCAACCACCGTTATAGATATACTCATTCTAGAGGTTTATGTCAGCATTACTCTCAGTCTTTTGTTTAATTTTGGCCATTTTTGTATCACTCGTCCATCTGGCTAACCGAAAGATAGAAGCCAAAACTGGTACATGTAATTGTAAGGTGAATGTTTGGAATAGATAGAACAATAGAGAAAGTTGAGCTACACGCGGACACTCAGTGGGTAAAAGACGACTGATTCTCAGCCAGGCGATGGATAATATTTATCTGTTTATTCAATCGTCTGTGTTGCCCTGCGGTGCAGGATGATGGTGGTGGCGCAGTGGCTTAGATGCTGTCACCGACGTGCTTTTCATCCTGTGGCTCAAACCCCGCCTCCACCACCGAACCTTGGCGGTAGACAGTTTTACTGTCTTTCGGTTCAATACCACGCCTGATCTAGCTGGGCCTTATGTGGTTCGCTACTCCAAGTCCGGGGGCTCCAGTTGACGGTTTCCGCCGCTGAACAGCAGGTCTCCGTGACTACGGGGTCCACCCCGTCTTCTGTTCATCACGCTTGAGTGTGTAATCAAGTAGACGTCTTTGTAAATTTAATGGCCTAATGGAATATATGATTGTAAAAAAGTCCAAAATTGCCAATTCATCAAACCGAAAGATGCCAGTTGGTCACTGGGTAGATTGAATCAACTGCATTTGGTTATGGTTCCTGGAACTCACTCAATCCATTACTGAAAGCAAAACTGGTGAGCGATCACGTACGGCGTCGCTCGCATATTTTTTTGTTCGGTTTTTGTAGGTCGCCTAATTTGTTACTTTAATGGTCGTACGTGTAAGTTAGCGAAGCTCTTGTTCCTTGGATGATTTAACGAAAATCATCACTAGAATGAGAACATTCACCTACCGAGTTGATGGGTCATCTTAACCGAATTGAACCATTGAATAGATCCTCGCATGCTGAAGCATACCGTGCCGTTCCTGTAATCACTGTGTGCCGTTGAGTGGTCAACGTCAACTCACAGCAAAACTGGCCACTTTGAGATGCTGTTATGCTCAGTGAAATGCAGACTGCATGCTAGTCGAAATGCGTGCAAATATTGGGACTTTACTCATCTCAATACCGCCGACTTTGGGGGGGGGGGACTGTTTAGCNTAATGGCTGTTGTTGGAGTGCACGTGTGTGTATTCAAATTGGATGTTTGCGAAATTAGCTTGGTGAAATGTGAGATGCAGTGAATCAACCCTTTCCCTTAGATGTATAGATATACACGATTGAAGAATGTGTATATAATTAATGGTATCAAGCACAGTTGTAATGCATAGATCCGTTCAAGGTTTGGGCATACCACTGTTACATTGCTCAAACCAAGTCAGGTGAACTTCCCTTTTTTGTTTCATTTTTACCTCCTCTTATTGGATACACAATGATACAATTTTCAGGAAGGGGGAAGCGACCAATCAGAGGGCTGCCATACAACACACACACAATGGGGAAGTCAGGTGGTGGTGAGATTCCAACACTCATTCTCCGGGGTGATAATTTGGTGACGTCATCACCGGGCCACCACCGCCCTTTACGGATTCACCACCTTAGTCTCTAGCTAATCAAAGCCTGACTCACAATGTTGCACACTTGTGTGTATTATATCTCTTTGGGTCATACACAGTTCGTATTTTTTGTGAATATTGTTTATTGTGTTTTATTTGTGTTATTCTCTCTAAAGCTCGCCTCCACGTCCGACCTGATGCATGCCCTTGGGGGTGGCAGCGGCCTCTTTCATATGGCGGCGCTGGACGCGAACAGAAATCCCGTATTCAAACCCCCTGCGGACCACTTTCGCACACAAATGTGACCACTCCAGCAACTGTGACTACCGTGAACCAGTTCGGGCAAATCCAGAAACGTTTCCCTCCTTACTCACTTCCAGGCACTCGTGCGCGTGGAACTTCACGTCCGGTTGGTCGTATTCGGACCAATTCCATGCTCTATCCGACTCTGCATCCGCAAAACCCATTCGAAATTACACTTGATCTGGTCACGAATTTACGATCTTCTGGTCAACGACGTTGGGAGCTGGTTCGTCCAAGAGGTAGGTTGCCGTTTTTCTTAAAGCGGATTTGTGGAAGTAATTCCACTCTTTTCGTTTGTAATGTTTATTCATTGTTTGAGCGGTACCGGTTCATGAATTCTCTTACCGACCGCTGCTTCTGTAATATGCTCTTCATTACACTCATCGCGTACTCCATTCTGTTTTTATTACTATCGTTATCTCCCCCCTATTTGAATTGCTTTCATATTAGTAAATCCGCGTGGAAATAAATCCGAAAAGATTCGTGCTCATACACTGGGGTCATGTTCATCTAGGAACCACAAATTGTTATCATCTCTCTCCATGTATTCAGCAATTGCTCACAAAAACACTTGATTCACACTCGTTTGCCACACTGGCTCAAACTCAAACTGCAGATAATTTCGCATCAGTTTTATTTCTCGTTCCGTTCGATCCACCGTCCCCACAGACGAGACGGGGTTGCCTGCTCCTCCTCACTGGAGTCTATTTGCACTTCGCACATTGGAATTTCTTCACCCGAGCACTCCAATGATGAATCTGTCTCAGGTGAGTGTCAGTGATTGACAGATTTTTTTGTTTTCCTTCTCACTGCCTTTCGTTCCCCATCTCATTCCACAAACTGTCTTCGTCTCATTTCGACCATATATTTTTTCTTCTTTTCGCATCAGATATACTCCCATCAATTTCGGATCGAAAGCACAATTGTTCTCATTATTATTGTTCACTGTAATTTGTTTCAGGTTTGGGCAGCCTACTTTGAATTTTTGCGCACCAAACTGAAGCAGTCTGCACCCGGTGGACCCAGTGCACACAGTTCCATCCCCATTATCTCATCCNCCGCTTCTACAACAGCCTCGTTCAATTCGAGCCGATTCGAATCGACAGGAGCCCTGACGCGTCCCAGTCCATTTGAAGATGGTCGAAAGGCGGCAACCGTTTCTAAAAGTCAAATTTCACGTACTGCTCTTCCTTGGTGTGTGTTCTCTTGTTGTTGTTCTTGTCGTTGTCTTTGCTCGTATAGTCATCTGCTCAAGCATGTTATGATGTGGGGCTGACTGTTCCTGGATGCTTTTATGTACAGTATGAGTAATGTTGATATTTTGCTTCGTTTTTTATGCACGTGTACAAGTGTACAATCTATACTCACAAGGGAGTATAATGTTTTGCGATGCTAAGGTCTAAGTACACTCGGTCTATGAACGTTCAATTGTTGTGCCACCTGTTCCTAATCTTTCTCTGAAACTATTGCTTCATGTAACTTCCTCTGTTTTCATCATCGAAAATGTGAAGCTGAGTCTGTTACATCATACGTAACTAACGCTTTCTATCCATTGCTACTATGCAACTGGTAAAGAAAGCATCAGTTCACTGGATTAACTTCGGGAGCCTTTAAAATTTGCCCGTCAGATAAGCTTCTAAGCGCGTAGCATTGCCTTTGTTTCGCTGTATACCAATGAAACCTCTTCATAAAATCCTCTCACAGACTGTTTGATTAATTCCTTGGTTTTTACCAGGGATAACTTGCATATAAGAAAATCAGTTTCAACTCTAATCAAGTGCACTTCAATCAACCAGATGTAAATATTTCTGTGACTGCCACTTTAAAGAACACCGGGTTTACCGGGTAACCATCCGGTCATCTTATTTCTCGATTTAATCTAACCCCAATGATGGAATACTCGAGTTCACTTTAATTCGGTTCAGTGTCATTCCTGCCCTGCTGAGACCCTATACGGTTCCTCGTTCCAAGTTGCGATGACTTAGGCTATCAGTCGTACACTGGATGTTTGTGACTATGATCTATCCGTTTCCATTGTTCCTATCACACTAATTTGTAATAGTCAATTGGTGAAGTATTGAAAAGTGTGATTGTTGTTATTTTGTTCTGTTTACTCACTGTCATTGTCGTTACTTGTCTAAACTTGCTGGTTTCAGGGCTTCGGCTGTGGCCCCACGAAAAAGATCCGAATGTCTGCTCACCGAATCAGCCCAGTCTATACAAGGAATGCTCAACGGAGGTAGGTTGTTTTCTTTCTACGCATACTTAATGTGTGATCATTTGGAGTCTTCCACGTCAAACAGAGCGTTTTCCCTCGGTTCACATTCTTGACTCCATCATCGGTTTCTTTTCTCACTGGTTTCTCTTGGTTCTGTGCACATTCTTTTCAGCCGACCCAGCACTGCTTCAAATGCTCAACTCCTATGCTCATCGTGATTTCGAGGCAGTAAATGCAATTGGTGAAGCTGCACATCCGGATGCTAGTGGTAGCTGGAATCCCTCATCTGGAGCGTTGCAATTGTTGGATGCCGTGCGCCAAGCGGCTAGGAGTTCATTCAACTGTGAAATGCCTAACTTCTTTGCGGTTGACCGCGCTTTAGCTGAACAGCGACTGAGTGAGTTTATCCGGTACTCGTGAAATTAACTTCTGCCGAATATATCACGGTTTGGGGAGGGGGGGAGTGGAGCACGGAGGGGGCAATTCACTTCCCTGTCCCATCTCCGTAGGTTTTGATTGAGTAAGAAATTTGCTAGATGATTTGCTACTCCAAATTACCGAACTGTTTCGCATCAATTGATGTCCAATGATTAGGTCCCTCCCATGTAATGTAGATCTAACCGTAAATCTTCCTTCCCCCCAGAGCGAAAATGATGTTGCTTCAGTTGTCTGATGTTGTCAGTATCAGCGTTGGATCACGCTAATCGACAGTTTTATTTGCTGAATACAACATTCAACGGTTGAATTCAATTTGTCCTACGATGATGCAGGTGCTCTTTTGAAATTCCTAGCTTGAACTGAATGCATGAAAGCTTTATTTTTGTCGTGTCCTTTCAATGGCTTCTATTCCATTTCATGTTTCACAGGACTAAACTATTTAGTTCAGGCTGAAGTTATTATATGGTTCAGATAAAAGTACTCATAAATATGTACGACATAAAACAGTATCCACGCAGTGTTTCGTGATTTTGTTATCTTGTCTTGTATTCCTCCACCACCGTCTGATTTCCCCTAATTTCTGTGTTTTGTAGTAACCCTTTGATTGGCTGTTTCCCACTCCCTGCTCATTTCCCAATGAAAACGGTTTCAGTTTCAGTGAAAACAGTACTGGACCCTGAACTGTTCCTCACTGGCCATTTTCTGTTTTCTACTTACCTCTAACGCGTATTGTGGCTAGAAAATCCATTTTTGAAAAAAAATAAAGTTCTTGGGTCATTGAGAAGAAATCTGTTGTTGAAAATACAATTCCTTTTATTTTGGCCACCTAAGTACTACTATCTAGCATACTTTTTGTCGATTCTCCCATGTGTTATCTCCAATACTCCTCACTCACCAATGATTGCTTTCTTGAACTTCTGAGCAGTGTGAAAAATTTGTTTTTTACGGTTGTTTACCAGGTGTAGGGCAAGTGAAGAAGAACGTAGAGGGACCATGGAAGTAGAGTTTTGCCTTTTGAAGACGCGGCATACTTCTAAATTGAAAGTTTCAATAGTTCTGACAAGTCAGCTTGTTGTCCGATTTAATGGAGTGTGTGGACATTAAATGCAACTGAGTAAAAAGATGGTTTAAATTTATTATTTATTAATTCTATACCTTAAAATTCATTGACCTTGTTAACCGTGAGAGCATGACCGAAGCACCCGTATGGGAGCTTCTAGTGATCAAGGTTTTCAGGCACCTTCCTAAACTGCCATTTGGAGTTTTCCGCCAGCGAAAAATTATATCCCATATCAGGACAGATCTGCCATGATAATAGCAGCTATCGAAAACATTGTATTCCCTCATAGTGTAATATCGACAGTTTTACAGCTCACCAAGACCATCTGACTTGGAGCCTGTTTGTCATTGGAAGATCTCCCCACCTACTCCTTGTTATATGTAATGTCTTCCTCCGGACACAGTATACCTAAGTGTTTGCGAACATCAGTTAACCTTCAGAATCGTCATCTCTCATGTGCCAGATTCAGCCTGTGTTTAAGTGGCTATTTCATTTTCTAGCACTCACATGTGTACACGACATCCGTTCCAATCCTTCATCGTACTTGTTATTTGGGTTGACATAATCCATATCAGCCATTTTATGCCTTCTCAAATACATATCTCTTATCTCTGGCTATTTTTTTCAAGC